CTCCTTACCTTCTGGTCTTCAGGATAACTTACGCCCTGGGTGTATTGTTTTCCTTAGGGTTTCCTTGGGTCACTATCTGTTTCTATCTATCGCGTCCTGCGACAGTCTGCCAATTCAGTTAGTTTCCTTGGTTTCCCTTGGCATGTGGTCTTGTTTTTCTTCATGGGACGATCCTCCGGAGCCCGACACCGCCGTCCTACTGTCGAATCCAATGCTTAAGACCTATGGTAAGGTAAGTTAAAAATTTATTAAAATCTAAATATTTTAGATATTTAAATACTTACCTTACCATAGGGCGGTAACTCCCTCCCAACGCTGGATGCTCCTCCCCTCTCTGGGCTCTTCGGACCTGGTCAGTGAAAGTGATTTTTGGATAGACCACGGCGTGCGGAGAGGGGAGATCACGTCACTTCTGTTCCTGTACACTCGTCGATACTTGAGGCAGCCATTCTAGAGAATGGCGAATCGATGACTGTCTGATCTGTTTTAAGCGGAGCTTGAGGTAATATGCATAAGACCTATGGTAAGGTAAGTATTTAAAATATCTAAAATATTTAGATTTTAATAAATTTGTCTAGTTCTGTTGTTTATCTGATAGAAACAAGAGATAAGCGATGATGGTGTACAACCCTAATTTGTTATTTGGAATAACCTGTGTTACCCCCTTTTTGAGAAAACACATTTTACTTCACTTTCCTGATCTTTCAAGTACTCTTACTGTTCGTAGGAAAGTGCATAGTGATGTCTTCAGATCTTGTTGGTAGCGACAACTAATATCTGAATTTACTGAGATAGATGAGACCTACTCTATGCAATAACTTTGTGTGAGCATCACTGTATGAAAAAGTGTGTGGAGAATGTGCCTGAAAGGCTATGGTGTATTTGGCACAAGGAACATTAAAATCCGAGTGTTCAGTGGTCTCAGTGCTGGTTACCCTCTCATAAAAACAGGGCTATGGCTTTGTTTATTGGTCAGTAAAAACCTACACTGCAAACCAGACTTCTGACTTCACAGGTGATGGGGGAACATGGTATATGAACCCATGAAGTATGGATGAGGCTGTTAGATTCTTTGATCATTTGTGTCTGCGATGTCTGTTTGTGGGATGGGGGGGTAGTCAAGTGGTACTAATGTATTCTTGTTGGGATTAGGGTCTTGTTAAACTACAGGCAGTTATAGTGTCATGTGCTAATACCTAGTGCAGTCTAGTTAGTACCTTCACGATATGTGTTTTAAAAAAACTGTGTTAGTAAGTTTGTGTTAATACTAATGTGCAGTATTGTTAGTACTTTCACAATAATGTTTTGAAAAATGTTGCTTTTTGTCTGTGGATTTTGGCTATTCTGTAAATTAAAATATATTTCAGGTTGTAGGAGTATCATGAGCGTTATGTTGTTTTATGAGTCTCATGTCAGGTTATCAAACATAGCTGGGTGCAAGTAATTTCTTTTGCCATTTGGAAGTACGTTAACAGCATTTGCTATGTGGGATGGTATAACCTATTTATTTCCCTCCAAAGTGGGATACATAGTATTTATCATGATGATGTGAACCAATCATATCTGTACATACTGATGAGGGCATGAGGTTGATTATGTTTGGATTTGCTCCATCACTTTAAAGTACCAGGGGAAATACAGAAGACAGACAGTTGCAGACATGATTGATCACTGAATCCAAGAGGACACCCTGCCTTAACTATAGGAAACTTAACTATAGAACTTACACCAAATATCACCACTGGATCAGTAAAAGATCAGAGATTTTGTGTCACATGAATTTCTGAAATTCCTGAAGATCCCTTCAGGATGATTATTCTGTCATGCAAACTGTTTTTATTGCTGAGTCTGCAAAAATGGTATGAGTTGTTTCAAATTTGTTTAGATTGGACACATATCACTAATTTGGAACTACTTTTTTAATCCACTCCATTTTGGATCTATGTGCAAAAGTGTTTAATGTGTAGGAAGAACACTGAATATATGCATATGGTACCCTACTCCAGCCTGCTTCTTATTGCATTGTATATTGGACGTATATTGTGTGTTCCTACAGTTCTTAACTGTTTCATGTTAGTAACTTAATGCCAGAGTAATCAGGTTGAAAGTATCCAATCAGATCATGGCCATAAGGTGCAAATTTGTGGTTACCATGGTGAAATTTGCTCAGTAATAGTCATCTTCTTTGTACTGGTGCTTTGCTTGATTGTACATAAAGGAGAGTCCAACCCCATTGAGTAACCAACACACCTGCTCTTGATGTCCTCTTGTGTTGAATAAGAGCTGTGATGTAGGTGGTATGTTGCTAAGAGCTGTGATGTAGCTGGTATGTTGCTAAGAGCTGCGATGTAGCTGGTATGTTGCTAAGAGTTGTGATGTAGGTGGTATGTTGCTAAAAGCAGTGATGAAGCTTGTATGTTGCTAAGAGCTGTGATGTAGGTGGTATGTTGCTAAGAGCTGCGATGTAGGTGGTATGTTGCTAAGAGCTGTGATGTAGGTGGTATGTTGCTAAGAGCTGCGATGTAGGTGGTATGTTTCTAAGAGCTGTGATGTAGGTGGTATGTTGCTAAGAGCTGTGATGTAGGTGGTATGTTGCTAAGAGCTGTGATGTAGGTGGTATGTTGCTAAGAGCTGCGATGTAGCTGGTATGTTGCTAAGAGTTGTGATGTAGGTGGTATGTTGCTAAAAGCAGTGATGAAGCTTGTATGTTGCTAAGAGCTGTGATGTAGGTGGTATGTTGCTAAGAGCCGTGATGTAGGTGGTATGTTGCTAAGAGCTGTGATGTAGGTGGTATGTTGCTAAGAGCTGCGATGTAGGTGGTATGTTTCTAAGAGCTGTGATGTAGGTGGTATGTTGCTAAGAGCTGTGATGTAGGTGGTATGTTTCTAAGAACTGTGATGTAGCTGGTATGTTGCTAAGAGCTGTGATGTAGGTGGTATGTTTCTAAGAGCTGTGATGTAGGTGGTATGTTGCTAAGAGCTGTGATTTAGCTGGTATGTTGCTAAGAGCTGTGATGTAGGTGGTATGTTGCTAAGAGCTGCGATGTAGCTGGTATGTTGCTAAGAGCTGTGATGTAGCTGGTATGTTGCTAAGAGCTGTGATGTAGCTGGTATGTTGCTAAGAGCTGTGATGTAGGTGGTATGTTGCTAAGAGCCGTGATGTAGCTGGTATGTTGCTAAGAGCTGTGATGTAGCTGGTATGTTGCTAAGAGCTGTGATGTAGGTGGTATGTTGCTAAGAGCCGTGATGAAGCTGGTATGTTGCTAAGAGCTGTGATGTAGGTGGTATGTTGCTAAGAGCTGTGATGTAGGTGGTATGTTGCTAAGAGCTGTGATGTAGGTGGTATGTTGCTAAGAGCTGTGATGTAGGTGGTATGTTGCTAAGAGCTGTGATGTAGGTGGTATGTTGCTAAGAGCCGTGATGTAGCTGTGGTATGTTACAAGAGCTGTGATGTAGGTGGTATGTTGCTAAGAGCTGTGATGTAGGTGGTATGTTGCTAAGGCGATGTAGGTGGTATGTTGCTAAGAGCTGTGATGTAGGTGGTATGTTGCTAAGAGCTGTGATGTAGGTGGTATGTTGCTAAGAGCTGTGATGTAGCTGGTATGTTGCTAAGAGCTGTGATGTAGGTGGTATGTTGCTAAGAGCTGTGATGTAGGTGGTATGTTGCTAAGAGCTGTGATGTAGGTGGTATGTTGCTAAGAGCTGTGATGTAGGTGGTATGTTGCTAAGAGCTGTGATGTAGGTGGTATGTTGCTAAGAGCTGTGATGTAGGTGGTATGTTGCTAAGAGCTGCGATGTAGGTGGTATGTTGCTAAAAGACGCGATGTAGGTGGTATGTTGCTAAGAGCTGTGATGTAGGTGGTATGTTTCTAAGAGCTGTGATGTAGGTGGTATGTTGCTAAGAGCTGTGATGTAGGTGGTATGTTGCTAAGAGCTGTGATGTAGGTGGTATGTTGCTAAGAGCTGTGATGTAGGTGGTATGTTGCTAAGAGCTGTGATGTAGCTGGTATGTTGCTAAGAGCTGTGATGTAGGTGGTATGTTGCTAAGAGCTGCAATGTAGGTGGTATGTTGCTAAGAGCTGTGATGTAGGTGGTATGTTGCTAAGAGCTGTGATGTAGGTGATATGTTCCTAAAACTGTGATGTAGGTGGTATGTTGCTAAGAGCTGTGATGTAGGTTGTATGTTGCTAAGAGCTGTGATGAAGCTAATATGTAGCTAAAAGGTCTCATTTAGCTTGTATGTTGCTTAGATTTGTGATGAAGCAGGTATGCTGCTAAGAGATATTTAGCTGCTGTGTTGCTAAGAGCTTTCAAGTGGCTGATATGTTACTAAGAGATGTAATGTAGCTGGTATGTTGCTAACAGATGTATAGTTGGTATTTTGCTAAGAGCTCCGATGTAGCTGGTATGTTGCTAAAAGGTCTCAAAAGTAACTGGTTTGTTGCTTAGAGCTGTGATGTAGCTGGTTTGTTGAAGCTTCTGAGAAGAAACCCAATACAGTTTTAATCATTTTTGCGGATTCACAAATACTAATTGTGTTTGTAGAGTTACTTTCAGGGTGTAGGATGATGTTCACAATGGTCCTTTATGGCAATAGGGGTGGTGGGGTATACTAGAGATAAAACCATTGCTCAGCATACTGAAGACCCGGGTTCGATTCCCCACATGGGTACAATGTGTGAAGCCCATTTCTGGTGTCTTCAGCTGTGATGTAACTGGGGCGGTGGGGTAGCCTAGTGGTTAAAGCATTCGGTCGTCACGGCGAAACCCCGGGTTCGATTCCCCACATGGGTACAATTTGTGAAGCCCATTTCTGGTGTCCCCCGCCGTGATATTGCTGGAATATTGCTCAAAACGGCGTAAAACCATAGTCAGTCAGTCAGTCATTGTGATGTAACTCGGATAGTGCTGAAATCGACATAAACCCTTACTCACATACTCTCCTTGATCATGTGTGCACCCATACTCACCAGGTACTATTTTAAATATTTTCCATTGCAGCCAAGAGATAAGCAGATTGAGACAAAAACAGCTGATGGAAGACGGAGAATCACACCCATCTTCCTTGCTCCTCAGCCAGAGATTGGATTTGAGTAAGTTCAGAGGCTACCTGACCCTGATGGGATTCTCATGCAGAATAAACCCTCATTGATTTGTTTGCAGCCTGCATGTGATCAGTTCTGGAACTATGAATACACAATGCCTATTAGAAAGGGGTCAAATGTAACATGTGTTATATTTGGGATTACACTTTCTCAGGAAAGTACAGATTGTAGAACTAGGTTTTGGGTGTGGCAGCTGTGCCAACAAAATTAGAAGTCTGACAACAACAAAATCTATATGGACTGAAGGCTTTCACACAAACAAGCACTGATCACTGACTTGCCCTAGCTGAAATTTAAGTTTATTTGTCTGACGATTACTCATCATGAAACTATTCATCCACACAGGGAGGCTCCTCTACCTTTCACAAGCAAAAAAAAATTGAATTTGCCTCGTCTGAGAGACAGAGCTCGATCCAGATTGAGAAGCAGGATCGAGTGACGGGCCCGGGGATCCAATCCTCACCCTCCCAGTCCCTCCAGTCCCCACCCCCAGGCAGCAGTCTAGGCTCCCAGGACTGTAAGACCCCCTCCACTAGCGACCCACACAAGACCACAGAGGCCAAGACCCCAGCTTCATCAGCATCAACAGCTGTGTTTCAGGTAGGTGTGTCCTTAACTGAGTTGGTGAGTGAGTGAGTGGGTTGAGGTAGGTGAATGGGTGGGTGGGTGAGTGAGTGGGTGGAGGTAGGTGAGTGAGTGAAGGAGTGAGTGGGTGGGTTGAGGTAGGTGAGTGGGTGAGTGAGTGGGAGGGTGGTTCGGTTAAGATAGGTGAGTGGGTTGAGGTGGTTGGGTGAGTGAGTGGGTGGGTTGAGGTAGGTGAGTGAGTGGGTTTGAGTGGGTGGGTGAGTGATTAAGTGAGTTTATGTTGCATCAGCATTATTTCAGCCGTATAGTGACCCCCCTTAATAGGAAATTTAATTATTGATATAATGACTCAAATATATCAGGATATATCAGTTATTAATAAAGATAAATAATATTTTTCTGTACCATAGACCTCCAATTAATCACTTTGATAGTGAATATGAACGTTTTAAATTTGATGGCTCAAGTTTGCGTGTAACATGTTGGTCATGGAATGATCTCTACTTCAGCCAATGAAAGCCCTTGTGAAGACACCTACTAAGTCAGACAAGTCGAAGTCCATCCCAGCCCCAAGCACTGCCACCACTACACCAGCAGAGAAGTAAGTTGATGCTATGTCTTACGTACATATGACCCCACTGTTGGTCAAGTTGACAGAGGGTCTGCTTGCCAGGCCTGCTGGTCAGGGGTTCAGTCCCATGGCATATTATAAGGGTAACGCTATTTTCAGGGCATTATCGTTTGCTGAAGCCCAAGGTCTTTCATTAACTGCCTGGCGAAGGAGGGCAGTTGAAAAGACAGAGGGGTTTCTGCAAACTGTTACCTTTATCATAGCTAAAATGGATAGTTTTTTATAGAAAAAACAAAAACAGTGGTATCGTTTTGAAGCATTTACTGCTAACAACAAGGTCACTGACACACTTTTTACAAACATGGAAACGTCATAGAACAAAACAGATGACGTCACTATGGAGTGTGACGACATTCGACCTTGACCTTTGCCCATACTAAGAGCCGCCATTTTTTTCAATGCCCAACAACGTTAGCATTCCAGTCGATATTGTCATTGCTACATATTGTAATTTATGGTACAATTGTTATGGTTGGCACCGGCAAGACAGTGCATGACAGCACAGGTACCTGTGGCGAATGTGAGTCAGAAATATCGTCAATTATTGAACCCAGGTTCAGATGAGCTGTAGGAGATTGAACATCAAGAGCCGAGCTCCTGATGACATCACCTAACAGCGGGCATGATAATGGCAGCTGTTAACCAATTTGGGGGCTTTATCAAAGTTACAGTGGCCCGTTCATTTCTGATAACATGCGGGCGTTTTAATGATAATTCTATCCATTTTAGCTAAAAGTGTGTTTATTGAGAGACAATTGTGATAAGAAGTCAAACCTAGTTATCTCAAACTATGTGTTGTTTACTGAAAGACGTCCAGCCATTAGACATGCAAATAATTAATGACATATGGATTTCTAAGCAACTCAGGTAACAGAATCACACATAAATTGCTAAAACAGTTAAGATCAAGACAAGCAGGAAAATGTGTAAGTATTTGTCAAGTGAAACATTTGTGACTGAGAATAGGTTCAGTATGTAGGTCTATTTGAGATAATGTGGCACAATTGTAACTGGTATGTTCAGTGATATATTTTGACCTGTTCAGAAGCTGGTAGTGTAACACTGTAGTGTTAAAATGTATTGTTAAAATATCTCAGAATTAAGGAAAATTAAAAGTGAAAGAAAATCCAAATTTTCAACCAAATAAGCAATATATCTGTAGCTGAGGCACTAAGTTTAAAATCCTAGATAAATAGAATACTGCCATCATAGACATGAACTCACTTGCTGTACAGGTCTGTCGAGGACAAACAGAAGGAATATCATCGTGCTAAACTTGCGTCTGGGCTGTCACTAAAACGGAAGATTGATGATCGGCGTCCAGGGAAAGTGGGACGACCTCGGAAAGCTGATCGGGAGGCAAGGGAGGCGGAGAGAGCAGCTTTGAACATATCCCAGCCAATCTCTACCCCGGTAAGATTTCCTACATTGTTCGTCAGTAGGGAACAAACTTATAGCATGGTTTCAACTTCCTGAGATGAGGTGAGATGAGGTGAGGTGAGGTGAGGTGAGGTGAAATTGGGTTTTATGTCATGCGTGAGAATATTTCACTCATATGACGACGTGCATGCGTGTGTATGTGTATGTGCGGCTGCTTGTACTAGCCCAGACTTAAGCTGGCTTTATAGTGCTAGCCCACTGAGATACCCATGCCGCAGTGAAGCATGAATACCCCACTCAGACACATTATACAACTCCGATCCAACCAGACCTTGTAGCCATTAATGCTGAGCGCCAGGCAGGGACCAACAAGTACCATATTTTAATGTCTTTGGGTATGACGCGGTCGGGGATCGAACCCGCGACCTTCAGCCCTCCGGGCGGACGCTCTAACCACTACACCACGGAGGCGGTCATGTCCTGTCAGGATGTAGCTGATCTACTTACTGTCGATGGGTTGACCCTCATCTTCGTTAGTACTCAACATACTATATTGGTAAATGATACATTTTCTAGAATGATATGTTTATTATTTTAGCTTGCCCCTGATCGAGAAATTGTACGTCATGTGCCTGTGCCTAGTGACCTTCACCTTCCTGTGCCAACCATGAGAAATCATCGAACAAACAGGTAAAATAAAAAATGTTAATGCGTAAATCAGCCATTGTAGAAATGAGATGTGTTTTTGTGTTCTGTGGAAGAAAATGTTTAACGACGGATGGGGTTGCTTTTGTAGGATTTGAATTCCTCCATTTTGAAAAAAAGCGGAATATTATCAATGATCCATAAAAAAAACAAATTGGAATGTGAATTCAAAACTAAAGTACTGAGTTATTAAGGTGCAAAATTTAAAAGATCTGTTTTGTTGTAGTTTGTACATTTACTAGTCTCGTTAGAATCAGAACATTGTTCTTGATCCATAAGAGTTGTTTCCAAAGTGTAGTTTTGAATGAAACCAGCTTCAAACTAGTACTGGCGAAACCTGCTTCCTGTTAGGCTAGAGGTGACTACATATTTGTAATTTCATTGGTTGGTCAAAGTTGACGAAGGGTTGTTCCGATGTGACCTATAATATGATGACCTCAGATCTACGTGTAGTGGTATCTTGCAAGCTTTCATTGGCTGATCGGTCTAAGTTGCCCAGTAATAGGATGTCCCAATTGACTGATTCGTCAAAGTTGGGGAAAGGTCATTCTGACATGCCCAGTAATGAGATGTTCTCATTGACTGATCCGTCAAAGTTGATGAAAGGTTGTACTGACATGCCCAGTAATGAGATGATCTCATTGGCTGATTGGTCAAAGTTGGGGAAAGGTCGTTCTGACATGCCCAGTAATGAGATGTCCTCATTGGCTGATTGGCCAAAGTTGGGGAAAGGTCTTTCCGATGTGACCTATAATAGGATGACCTCAGATCTACCAGTAGTGGTATCTTGGGAGCTTTCATTGGCTGATCGGTCTAAGTTACCCAGTAATAGGATGTCCCAATTGACTGTTCCGTCAAAGTTGGGGAAAGGTCGTTCTGACATGCCCAGTAATGAGATGTCCCCAGATGTAGTGATATTGAGAACTAAGGTAAACTGCCATGGTTACCATGCTATCCATTGAAGACCCATCTACTGATGCTGCAGATTCTAGGCAAGGCAGGTGACCCTGGCTCTGTGGCCCTGGAGGTGGAGAACTTGGTGGGCGGTGGCTCTCATAAGCTGCACAAGGTCAGATGTGTCAAGGATGGACTTGTCTCATGGGAACAGGTCATGACCTCCAAGATCAATGCTGTCACAGGGTCAAGGTCAGTTAATTTTCTGTAATGATTTGTATCATCAGCAACGTTATCACAGGTTTGATAAGGCCCTTGAATTTTGCATTCCTTAATTAGGCCAGGCCAATTTATTTTTCTTGTTTTAGGGATTTTGGTCCTCTGAAAACCAAAAGGCAGTAGGCAATAAAAATAATTAAAAAATCACCAGTCAAAGTAATAGTCCTTTTAAATACTAAAAGTATTTTACTTTTGGCAATTTATGAAGTGTATATAAAAATAAATTCTTGTAAGGTTGGGCCAATAAAAACAAACATTAGGATTTTATTTTTTGAACAGGGAAAATTATTATTATTTTTTTTCTTATTTTTGAAAAAATATGACCGGTGGATCTGTAAAACAAGAAATAGAATTGGTCTAGTCTTAAAAGTCATCACAAAAGTCCATTAAAAAGTAATTGCTCATATTTTGTATGAACAGACAAGTTCTTTGATCATATTTACAGACATTGGTCAAATTGAAATCGTGTGTTGAGAAAACAAGCAAGTAATGTGTTGACATTCTAGCAGGTTTCCTGAAGCCGATATGGCTGTGATATTGCTGAGAGAAGCTTAACATTATAACAATACTATGAAGATACAAACAACCTTAATCATCTCATGTTTCTACTTGTGGTGTCTATGGCTCTGTCGATTAAGGAGCTGCCGATTGTTTAGTTATGTTTATTAGGGTGCTCTAGAAACCAATGATCTTAGTTTTGAAATCTACATTTGCACTGATTTTGTTTCTAGACTTGTCTCCTCTAGCCCCAGACTGATTAATAATTTCAAGACTGATTAATAATTTCAAGTTTGATTTTGTTTGAAAATGTCCAACGCGGTAAACAAAAGACCTATGTCACATAGTGCTTTCCTTCAATGTCAAAGTGACATGACGTGATATAGCTGAAATATTCTAACTGATTATGTCTGACTCTGTCTCTCTCATTCACCCACCCCTCTTGCTGTCAGCACTATGCTATAAGCAGCCAACCCTCTTATTCATTCATTCTTCTCGCCAACCCACTCTCAATCACTCTTTTCCAGCTTCTCACTCCTATCAATCCTGTCACTCGCTCACTCACTCAACCGACCACTCACTCATCCAACTTGCTCTCGCTCACTCACTCAACCGACCACTCCACTCATCCAACTTGCTGGCCACTCACTCAACCAACCACTCACACAACCAAACCACTCACTCAACCGACCCTTGCTCACTCACTCAACCACCACTCGCTCACTCACTCGCTCACTCACTCAACCGACCACTTGCTCACTCACTCAACCGACCACTCACTCATCCAATTCGCTCACTCACTCATCCAACTCGCTCACTCACTCAACCACTCACTCATCCAACTCGCTCACTCACTCACTCAACTGGCCACTCACTCAACCAACCACTCGCTCACTCACTCATCCAATTTACCCTCTGACCAACTCACTAGCTCACTCACTCACTCACTGTCTGTTTCAGCCACGTGTATGGAGTCAGCTGTGAGAATCATTCCGTGTCCTTCTTCAGCGAGGGAGGGAGGAAAACCCTCCCCACTATAGTGCTAAACTCTAATGTCTCAATACTCAAGTGTACCAACTACCATGTCATGGCAATAACTCGCAAAGGAAGTCTCTATGTCTGGTAAGTTATCTTGCTCGTTACACCTGAACAGATTAATAACACATACAAAATGAGTTTTAAATGTGGACCAAGTCTAAATTGTTGTGAATTTATTACTCATTTCTTTTTCAGAATTGATACATCAAGCTTGTAGGTTTGCATTGTATTCATTCAGTCTTGTAGTCATGTTAGGTGGTGCGGTAGCCTAGTGGTTAGAGTGTTCACGTCCTGGGTTCAATTCCCTAAATGGGTACAATGTGTAAAGCACATTTCTGGTGTCCCCTGCAGTGATATTGCTGGAATATTGCTTAAAGCAGCATAAAAATAAAACACCTCACCCACAATTATTATTATTATTATTATTATAGGATATTTATATAGCGCACATATCCAGGCAACTAGTGCTTGCTCAAGGCGCTGGTATTTTTGCCCTCGATCACTGGATCTCAATCTCAGCGGCACATCATATTATCAATCTCAACTCCCTGGGGAGTATACAACTCTTGCAGCCACTAGGCGCACCGAGTTAATTGTGGCTTTCTCATCCTAACAATGGACATGTTAAGGGGATTCCTTGTTAGGACTGCTCCTTTGTGATCCCCTTGATTGCATGCCTCATCAGTTTGTGAAATAGGAACTGAACCACGAGCAAAAGTATTTTCAGGCTGAAGATTCTAAAATGTCCCTCGTCTGAGTGACTCATGAAGTTACAGTGACTTATGAAGCTCACCTATTAATTGATTAAAATAAAAATGTTATCCTGATTCTGTCGTTCATTACTCCCCTTTGAATATACATCAATTAATATTTTGTATCAAAGCATTGACAGAACAGAGTTACCACCCTTCACCCTTCATGATGCTTTTTTTTACTTGTTTTTTTTAGAAGTAAAGTACAAACTAATAACACATTTATCAATGTGTAATTGTATATTTAATCACTGTTATATGCGCCATCATGTACCTCAGTAAGGCCAAATAAAAAAATGTTGTGGTTCGATTACAGCTCTAATTTAGGGTAGGTAGGTAGGATTTTTTCTTTTTTTCTTATTTTTTAGAAGTAAAAGTACAAACTAATCATTTATCAGAATAATCGATGTCCATTGGTGCCAGGGAAAAACAATGGTATCTGAACACCTATTTTATTCATACTGCTTAAAAAAAAATAGGTCCGGCACCAGAATTCAAGGGTCGGTGGGGTAAACGGAATCACAACATTTTTTTTTAGGCCTAAGGTGCTCAGTGGCACTGTACAAAGTTAAAAATATGTTGTAAAAACAGAATCACAAGAAAATAGTCATTTTTGGTATGCTTGAATAAAGAGACAAAGCTTATTTGAAGTTTGTTTTTGCCATTGGTAATTTGAGAGATAGGGGAAGACTGTTCCAAAGGTGGAGAGCTGCAGAAGAGAAATTCTCTGTGACCTATGCTTGTTTTGCTGAGTGGAGTAAGCAGGAGGAAGTGGTCGACAGAATGAAGAGATCAGTAGGGCTTGTGAACTGTGATGAGATCTTTGAGATGGATACACACTTCGTTGTCATAAATGCAGTTGTGAGTCAACACTGAACAACGCACACACCTAAACATTTTCCTTTTCCTCATCCAGGAATCTACAGTCTCGTCGTGCTGTTATAAAGAATGAATGTCTAGCATCAATAATGACAGGTAAGCAGCTCTAACTACAAAAGCCCAATTAGGTTGTATGAGTAAGAACTGAGGCTTCCATCAAGCTGAACCTAATGGTTTCACGCTGGTAAAAACTGAAATACTGTTCAAATTGTCATAAAACCCAACTCACAACCTCACTCCATACTAGCATGTCTCTACACTGTCTGTGTGTCTAGTACAGTCTGGATATCAGGGTTGTCGGGTAGCACAGTGGTGGAAGTGTTCACTAGTCAGGCCTAAGGCCTGGGTTCTATTCCCGTCGTGAGTACAATGTGTGAAGCCAATTTCTCTTGTAACCTGCTATGATATTGCTTGAATATTGCTTAACTCATGCACAGTTTGAATTACTTTCCGACACTGTCGCCTGAACATAGTGACTTCAGCAACTTGTCTGAAGCCCAGAGCTGATGCAATTCTATTCCATGTAGTAGTGGTGCAACAATAGGTCATTACAGGATTGTATCGAGATGCAAGGCTTATTGTAAAACACATCAGCTTACAACTCTTGTATGGCAACACCTATGAATCACCACACAACTTATGTTGATGTAAAAATGTGATTAATGATAGAAACTGATTAAGAACCAGTTTACACAGATTGTCCAGTATTTCCTGGTTGGCTATAAATAGCAAGTTCAGCCTCTATAGCAGAAAGCCCCTTAGCTCACGTTTCACCCACACAATATTCCACCTTTACTGTCTGTAACTTGAAAACTTGTGACCAACTGTATATGGTAGGGCTGCACAATATAACCGGTTTACCGGCATTTACCGGTTCAGACATGAAAACGATACGTATTGCGATACGCTGATCGAAAACCGGTATTTTGACTTGTATTCGGAAAGCGTCGTAACACTCGGAAATCTTCAGATATTTCCTTGTTTTATTTGTGCCAAGTATTATTCACATTTGTATTCTATCATGATTAGAATTTGTTATTAATGCTTAATCAAGCATTGTGATTTTGTTGTGTTTTTGCTCGATAAATCAAACAGTAACTCCATTATATGAAGTTTTTGGTTTAAAAACTTCATGCAATATATTGCAATACATATCGCAATACATGCTTTCGCATCGCAATATATCGCAATATGAATATTCTCTGCAATACCCATCCCTAGTATATTGATACAAATTCCTTTACAGTCTAGTCTGCTCAGCTAATAATCCACATGGTAACTCTCACATGGACAAAACATTATGCTAAGTTTGTACCTGCAGATTCAACAGTTTGGGTTACAGGCTGTATATTGGTTGTCATGAGTTCGTCAATGTAAATGTTCACTTGTTTTGCAGGCTCTGACAAGGTAGAGAAGACGTCTCTAACAGCGGACGGGATACCAGTCATTTCCCTCTCCAACAAAAAGTCCTACACATTTTCCATTGAAATGGCAACATGGTAATTACCCATCTGACAAGAACTGGCAGTATTTCTGTTTGTTGGGACAAAACGGGTTTATCAAGGATCCCAATTTGGTCTTTTGGAAGTTTTGATTTTCAATGCATACTTCTTGTTTTCTTGAATTTCAAATGCATGATCTTTAACATAAAAACAGGTGAGGTGAGGAGAAATTTGGTTTAACGTCGTGCTTGAGAATATTTCGCTCATGTGACGACATGCATGCATGTGTATGTGCGGCTGCTTGTACTAGCCCAGACTTAAGCTGGTTTTATAGTGCTAGCCCACTGAGATACCATGCCGCAGTGAAGCATGAATACCCCACTCAGACACATTATACTGACTCAGAGCCGACCAGTCCTTCCTTGTTGTACCCATTAATGCCGAGCGCCAGGTCAGGGACCAACAAGTACCATATTTTAACGTCTTTTGGTATGACGCAGTCGGGGATCGAACCCGCGACCTTCCACTGTCTGGGTGGACGCTCTAACCACTACACCACGGAGGCGGTCACACAAGAACAGACATGCATTGAAATGCCTTTGTTGTATTAATCCTGCTGTAAGTTAAGTAGTGAGATGCCAACCATAAAGTTGTTGGCATAATAATTCCGTTTTTTAACCTAAATATTTGGCATTACTTTTGTTTGATAACAGTGTTACCATCTACACGGAAATGTCGCATCTACTGCAATTAAGTAATTGTGAATCCATAAAGATTGTTGCTCTTCATAAAATACCACATAGAGCAAATTACAAATACACCAGTCTCGATGAGCATTCTGATCGGAACTAACTGCATGTTGACCAGTATTTTTTCCTGAAATAGACACACAAGTATAGTCTGTTTGCAGTGAAAACGTACCGATGAATGTTTCTTTAAACCAAAAAGTAAAACAAATAAAGTGAAATTAAGACTGCGAATCCTCATGATTTTACCTTGAAAATTGAACATTTCAATCTCAGAATTTTATTCGACTTAGGATAAAAGTTGTTTAACAAACGATCATAGTTTCACATGGCTATTATTGGATTTGTATTACAAGGGGGTATGCACATCATATGAAACACCGAAAACGACAAGGGTTGTTATAAGTTAACACTCTTCACGTACCACACGTGCATTTGTTTCACTGTTCCAACTACTGTGCTTACCCCTTTGTAATACAAACCAGTAATAGCGATTTGAATCTATGATCGTTTGTTAAACAATTTTTATCCTAATTTGAATAAAATTTTGAGATTTAAATGTCAATTGGCAAGGTAAAATTATGAGGATTCACAATCTTAATTTCACTTTATGCGATTTATTTTTTTGTTTAAAGTGAAATTCATCAGTACATTTCACTGCAAACAGACTATAATAGTGGCCATATTTTGTCATTTGTAGTGTAGGGGAGAATCAGGTTTCTATCTCAACATGATGCTAATAGTGTATTTTTAGTGTCTCATACTGTAGTATTATTGGAATTCTCATTCACAGACTCTCTTTCCACAGGGTCCTTGTCAACGACAGAGGAGACACTCTGCAGCTGTGCTCAAACCATCATGGCTGCCTCCCAACTGGGAGCGTCAACATGGTGGCCGGACCCCTCGCATCACTACAGGCCAACCCAGACAGGTGGGGACTACAACTGTTGAAGATGATCTATACACAAATTTTGTATTTTGTACCGAAAAGGACTTATTTCAGGAGTGCAGGGCCTCCTTTCATGAAGCAACCTTTACTAAGGTTAACCTTAACTCCCATTCTTTAACACTGGACTAAGGTTACCTCAGTGACTTACGATCTCCTTAGTGCTTCGTGAAAGGAGGCCCTTCAGCAACCCATACTTGTTGTAAGAGGCAATTAACAGGATTAGGGGTGATGCTTTCTTGGCACATGTCATCCCAATAGCGTATATCAATGCTCATTATGATAGTCCAGACCCAGAGTGCTGACAGAGGCTGGAATATTGATGAGCTGACAGATCTGGGTAAAATTATACGATAGAAAATTTCCAATTACACATTGAAAAATAATTGTTGCGTACCAATAACGCATTTAAAATGTTAGATATGCAAAAAGTTTAAAACAAATGCGTACGGAATATATTTATAAAAATCGTTTGCGTAATGAAAAATACATCGATTGCTATCAAGTTGTACTGTTAGTATAGGACAAGTGTTGTACTGTCAGTATAGGATGAGTGATTTTTTATGAAATCATTTCCCTTATTTTTAAGTTGGTTTTGATTAGGTATGACATAAGGCAGAACATACCTGCTTAGTAAACTTACTCAATGGACATAATACTTAGGTGAGTAAAATGACTGAAATACGCACATATTTGAAAGCAGTGGGTAACAGAAAATTAAATACCCACTCAACATTCATAATACCCACTCCAAAAAAGATACAGTGGGTACAGTACCAGAGATACCAACCCTTACGCTTTAGGCGTAATTATTACGATTTTGACCATTAAATTACGCCATTACACTTAATCTGCGAAAATTACGCTTTTCTACTCGTTTTTCGAAAATCAGTTAAGTGGATAAATTTTCACAGGGAAGTGTTTCGTAACGCACAGGTGCAGGGGTGCAGAAATGGCCTTGCACCGATAGGAATCGCTTACTCTTGGCATCGCACTCATTTCAATTAACTTGCAAGGAGTTAAAGTATGTTGAGTCACATGACCAACAATTTTCGATGTATGGAGATTCATAATGATTGATCACATGTGTTTCTGTCTAGAATCTTCCTTTCGTGAAAACGTGTACCATGTTGACAATTATTACACTTTTTAGGTCCAAATTACACTTTTTAGCCTCTAGTATTACACTTAGGCCCAAAATAGGGTTGGCATCTCTGCAGTATCCACATGAGCTAAATCTTATCTGGAGCTCTGAGTCCTGTGTTAAACAACAAAGTAACTGGAGTGGTGGGGAGCAGATTATCCCAGTTCTAAGTTCTATGCTGGTAATTCTGATGTTTCCCCCGTTGTGGTTTTGTAGGGAAATGAGTGATTTAAGTTCAATTATTTGCTTAAATACACTTATCTGACACTTGCCTAGAGCTGGTTTCAGAAATACTTTTCAAAATAATTCTGAACACAAAAAATATATATGAAAAGCTCAGCTTCATCAGTTCTGTCACAGGTATTTACAGGACGCGAATTCCTGTTCTATACTCATAAAAATTGACAATGGACGCAACCAAATTTATTAGCGCGTCCACAGGGACTCCAAAGTCCAAATACTTTTTTGTAAAAATTCCAATCAAGTGACAATAAGTTATCACTGAGTTTGTTACTAGCTGGGTTAGGGTATTATTTGCAATTTAATTACTGTAACAATGTGATGATCATGATACACAATACAATAACAGTATTGATAATAATATTTAGTGTCTGGGACCCCAATTTTGTAGTCCAGGACCCCTGAAAATTAAGAGTATGAGTCCCAGGGACCCTCAAATACAAGAGTCCATGTAAATCCCTGCTGTCACAAGCAAATACTTGTAAGCACAAGACTGATGAGAAATGACATTGTACAAAGAATTTAGGAAATATGGCCATGGTATTTGGTGTTAAGGTAACACTGTATTTGTTGGTTAGACTATGAATTGTCAGTGTGCATAAACCCCCAAAATGAAAGTGTTTCTTCCTAGACATTTTAACAATTTTTCTGATGAGAAGTATAATTTATGAAAAAGATAAAGGAGTAAATACCTCTTATCTTTGTGAAATTGTTGAAATACTTTAGAAAATTGTTTTACAACGATATAGATCCTGAGATATAAGAACAACTGAGAAAGGATGGTCATGCTTGTTGTCTTTACAGATGTGGGTTATCATGCCCACATGGCTTGGCATGAATACTAATCAGTGGTTTGTCTGGTCCAGACTGTTTCTTATTGACAGACTGCCTAAATAGCTTCGTTATTGTTTGCTACGGCATGAAATACCGCTCATTCATTTACTTTGTTAGTTCAAGCCTTATAAAATCTTTTTGCACATTATAAATGACAGTATTCTGGGCACCCCAGCTGAAACCTAAGTGTTGTTTCAGACCTGGCCACAAGGCAGCAGGAATGCTGGGCTCCTCCTCAGAACTGAAGCAGACGGCCACTCTCAGCCACCTGGAGTCACAAGTTGCCGTCTGCCTCAACATCAAGTCGGCCTCAGAGTACAGGTTCTGGCTGCTTACTTACGTCAGATATCTAGTCCAAGAAGGTGAGTCTGATGCCACATACCTAGTCCAAGAAGGTGAGTCTGATGTCAGATATCTAGTCCAAGAAGGTGAGTCTGATGTCCGATATCTAGTCCCAAGAAGGTGAGTCTGATGTCCGATATCTAGTCCAAGAAGGTGAGTCTGATGTCCGATATCTAGTCCAAGAAGGTGAGTCTGATGTCTGATATCTAGTCCAAGAAGGTGAGTCTGATGTCCGATATCCACTCCAAGAAGGTGAGTCTAATGTCCGATATCTAGTCTCAAGAAGGTGAGTCTGATGTCCGATATCTAGTCCAAGAAGGTGAGTCTAATGTCCGATATCTAGTCTCAAGAAGGTGAGTCTGATGTCCGATATCTAGTCTCAAGAAGGTGAGTCTAATGTCCAATATCTAGTCCAAGAAGGTGAGTCAGATATCTAGTCTCAAGAAGGTGAGTCTAATGTCCGATATCTAGTCCAAGAAGGTGAGTCTAATGTCCGATATCTAGTCTCAAGAAGGTGAGTCTAATGTCCGATATCTAGTCTCAAGAAGGTGTGTCTAATGTCAGATATTTAGTCGAGGACTTACTTGAGACATCTAGTTATAGATGATGCAAGGTATTTTTCTCATATCTCATACAAGAAGGTGAGATTTCCTTATGTCAGAAAAGTAGTCCAAGAAGATGAGACAACATGTTTTTACCTGTGACACCATGTTTGATGTTTTGTTTTAACTTGTTATTGTTTAGGTTAGTGCCATCATGGTGCATTGTTCATCAGTCTTTTACTTTTTTCACCTTCTACTATAAAACTACAAGTTCTGTGGACCCAGAATGTGTATAAATTATCCAACCTTTGGTGTCTCTAAATATTTCCAATAGAATTCCTCAACTTCTGTGAATATGCCTGCCAGTATATCTTCATAATTCAGGCCTAGTGGCACTGTTCTTTAAAAGGGAGAGAGTGACAAATAAGGCAGGTCACATGACTGTTTACGCGTGAAAAGGGAGGTAACTCATGGGTGAGTGTTTTTTTACGTCCGCTTCATGAACTTCAAGGGATTCAAGTGTTCCACTACCATTCGCAAGGAAAAGGGAGATAAGCAAAAGATCATGAGTCAGGATAAGTATAAAAATATCAATTTTACTTAAAAAATTACATTCTGTTGTGTAGAATGTTGCTTAGGATTACACAACAAACAAGGCAATTACAAGAGAACTATCAGGAGATGGTTCTGATTCTTTCCCCACCAAGGGATACAAGTTTCAGAGGGACAGTGATGTTGCTCTGCTGAATCTATGTTTCTGCTCCAGGTTTTGAAACCCAGCTACGAGAAGTGTGTAACGATCTTCTTGGGCCGCTGTATAGGTCGAAGAAGTCTTCATCGTGGCAGGAACATGTCTTGGTAGGTTTGATGTGATGTATCTTTACACCAGTATACAGTGTTCAAAGTTTAGCGAAAGGCTTTAGAGTAAAGTCAAAGGCAGGTCCTTGTCAGTGTCCTAAGTTTAGAACCGCCATATAGCTGGAATATTGCTGAGTGCAGCGTTAAACTAAACTCACTAAACTAAAACTCCTAATTTTAGGAAAAAAGCCTGATTGGTTCATATGTTAAAGCGAAACTGTTAGAGAACATTATTTATGGATTCCACTAATCCCACAGAAATAGAGCACTTTATGTGTAATTGTAATGTAAGATGAATAATGTGTGAACCAGAATTATTTTTGTGTGCAACTGTAGTCCAAGCAGTGGGTGCAGGATGGTGACAGATGTAAGGATGGTGGTGTGTGCAGGTGGGCTGTGAAAATAGGCATTGTGAAGAGGTGTCTGTATCAGAATCAACCTCTTTATGTAAGTGTTAGTGTTGAGTGAGTCCTCTACCTTTTTGAAAAAAGAAGAAGAAATTTGGCAAGATCTCCTCAAATACTATACCAGATACAAGGCACCCTCCACCAGCACAAATCTTATTTCAAACACACTGTTAAAGCCATTTGTGTGTGTTTACTGACAGTGGTTGTGAAACGTTTGAAGGACTGGACTTTGAATCTAATGTGTTTTTTTGTAGGCACTTACTGGCAAGAAAATTATGAAAGGTACAGTTCATAGAAAAGTAACTTGTTTTTTGCAGGGTCTGAACAAAAGAGATCTTTTACGAGAAATCCTCCCAATCGTTGGCAGCAATCTCCGATGGCAGCGCCTCTACACAGAATATCAGGAGCAGCTGGAGTCTGTCTGAGAAGGCCTACCTCCCGGTTTCATATACTTTCTTTCTTCATCTGTAGCCTGGAAGGAGGAGGAAGGTTGTCCAGGCGCCAGCTCATGGAATCATTGTACATAATCATGGGATAAATGGACCACCGTGAAACGATCCATACTTAAATGTCGTACTATAAAATTTGTAATCTAAGATGCCAAAGCCATTGTTGAGGTCTTTATGAAATTGTTAGGTGATAATGAAATATTTGGTACATATTGCTTCCTGATCATCACCTAGCAGTGTGTATAAATCATGATAAGTTGCAAATTGAGTGGTAGCTTGCAGTGCATATGACTATGTATTGCAACCTGATCCTTATCTTGCAATGCATATGACTATGTATTGCAACCTGATCCTTATCTTGCAATGCATATGACTATGTATTGCAACCTGATCCTTATCTTGCAATGCATATGACTATGTATTGCAACCTGATCCTTATCTTGCAATGCATATGACTATGTATTGCAACCTGATTTATCTTGCAATGCACATGACTATGTATTGCAACCTGATCCTTATCTTGCAATGCACATGACTATGTATTGCAACCTGATCCTTATCTTGCAATGTGTATGAGTATATATTGCAACCTGATCCTTACCTTGCAATGTACATGACTATATATTGCAACCTGATCCTTATCTTGCAATATATGACTTTATATTGCAACCTGATCCTTATCTTGCAATGAACATGACTATATATTGCAACCTGAACCTTATCTTGCAATGTATATCACTATATATTGCAACCTGATCCTTATCTTGCATTATATGACTTTATATTGCAACCTGATCCTTATCTTGCAATGTACATGACTTTATGTTGCAACCTGAACGTTATCTTGCAATATATATCACTATATATTGCAACCTGATCCTTATCTTGCTATGTGTATATCATGATATATTGCAACCTGATCCTTATCTTGCAATGTGTATATCATGATATATTGCAACCCAATCCCTCTGCCTTATCCTACTGTGTCTATATATATCATGATTATATTTATGATTTATATATTGCACAATTATCTGTTGCTTGTGCAAAAATGTTTCTCATTTTGTATTGCAGCCAGTTTATTATGTTGCAACATATATATCATGATATGTTGAACCCAGTCAGGTCTAAGATCATGTTTTTTTAATGTGCAGAGTTGCATCCCTTTTAGTGTCAGGATCTGCTGATCATGGTGGTGAACCACAGATTCATCCTGATTACGATCTTTGTTCTATCAACACCAAATTAGAATTTGTCTTCAGAATTGATTTTCATCGACCCATGCTTGTCGAAAGAGGCGACTATCAGGATCGGGTGCATGTCATCGTATCCCAATCTGGAGGGATTCGCTGAAGTTTTAAATGTTGAGGACGTGCATCACTTCGGTCCTTCCTCCCTAATAAAGTTCACAAACTGTGATATAACTAGTATATTGTTTAAATATTAAACTCCAACCCTCTTCTGTAACAGACATTCATTCACTGCCAGACCGTGAGAGGTCATGAGAGGAAATTTAACAGTTTTATGCAACGATATTTAAGGAGATCACCAATCACTATGTGTATATAGACATCAGCATTGCGGAGTGTATTTCATTGCTGTTGTTTCAGCAATGGTCTCTAGTATATTGTATATCGCCATCTATATTGGGAGGTAGAAACAGTCATACAGGGCACAGGGTATAACTTTTCTTGTCTGTTTGTCAGTTGTCCAAAAACAACCCACTGACAACATTGAAACTTCTCTGCAATTACTCTATAAGCAGAAAGGTTGTATATGGAGACCTCTTCTGGTAACCTCTATTTGGAAGGTGGTGGAATTGGGTTTAAAGTCGTGCTTGAGAATATTTCGCCCATATGACGACGTGCATGCGTGTGTATGTGTATGTGCGGCTGCTTGTACTAGCCCAGACTGAAGCTGGTTTTATAGTGCTAGCCCACTGAGATACCATGCCGCAGTGAAGCATGAATAACCCACTCAGACACATTATACTGACTCCGAGCCGACCAGTCCTTGATGTACCCATTAATGCCGAGAGCAGGCAGGGACCAACAAGTAGAAGACCCGGGTTCGATTCCCCACATGGGTACAATGTGTGAAGCCCATTTCTGGTGTCCCCCGTCGTGATATTGCTGCATTATAGCTAAAAGCGGCGTAAAACCTTACTCAGTCAATTTGAAGGTTTCTGCAATTGGGTCCTGTTAAAGGTGGGGTCAAATTATGGATGGCAATATACAGTATATCTCCCTGGCAGCATGTTCACAGTTACTGTTCATCTCAAGGTCAGGGAAAAACAAAAGGTCAAGATTATTCTCTTCTATCATCTCAGGTGATTTTTGTATCCAGACCCAACATTAATGAAAGCAGCATGTATATGTTAGTCTGCCTTTAATTTCCAAAGGAATTTGTTGAAATATGTGCTACAGTCAAAGACTTCTTGTGTGGCTTATTTCTGTAAAACAAATGATGATAACATGCCATGAACTTGTTCATTTGTTTTATCTCCTCTGAGGATTCCAGGTTCCCAGCAACAAAGGGGTGGTGGGGTAGTCTAGTGGTTAAAGCATTGGCTCTTACAGCTTGTTCAGCTTGACCTGATCAAGTGAATACTAATGCATTGCATGACCATGTCACAACTGGTTGGGTCTATTATTGTGAAGGGGTGCATTGAATACCAACATGTCCGAACAGTCCAGACAAGGTCGCTGTTTGACACCTCAGTGTCGAGTCATCAATGTCCTAACTTTCTTTAAAAAAGCTTTATTGTTTCCGATTCGAGCTTTTAGGCATCGAGCAGCAACATTAATAACATCCATTGCTCCCCTATTTAATGAAGTTAACTCGACCTGTCGTTTGTGCCATTTGACCTCCCGGGTCATGCATATGTAGAGTAGCTCAGGTCAAGCTGAACAATCTGTAGCACTGAAGACCCGGATCTGATTCCCCACATCGGCACAATGTGTACAGTGATATTGTTGCAATATTGCTAAAAGGGTCATAAAACTAAACTCACTCAACAGTTAAAATGGCTTGAACATAGGCCCATTAGGTAAGGTTCAATAATCTTTGCTGTAAGAAATACCTCAAGGCCTGTATGAGGGCACATGTGACTTGTGTGATGCACCATGGTTCACTGTTCAGTGATGAGTTTCTGGGGCAGCATGAAAAGTATCATCGCGAGTTCAAATCCAAGTTGAGTTTTCTGCTCAGATTGACAGTAATTTGACACCATACACCTGAAATGCTGTTGAACAGGTCATACCCAAATATAAACAAACCAAAGTTACTCCAAGTCTTATTTGGTTGCAAATCGAGACTTGCATGAAGGGAGTGATGGTGACCAGAGAGAGTGACCAGGTCATATGTACACTAACAATATACACCATCCTTTATTGTATACTCCTTTGAGGATAAGATCAATACCATGGAAACCTTGTTCGTCATACCTTGTTCCAAATCCAGAACCTGTGAAACCCGCCGTCCACTCAACAAGACATTCCAGGAAGATCACTGACTGAGAGGTCGAAGGTGGATGCCAAGGTTTGGTCGCTCACAGTCGAATGTGTGAAGTCATCACAGTGATGTTAAATGTGTTAGGTATGCATTACAGACTTCAGACCTGGGAAGACTAGGAGATATCCTGACATCCGAGATAGCTCCAGGAAGTCCTTGTTGTATAGGGCATATTGTTTGTTTGTCAATGACACTTAGTGCTGTAATGCTACATTTTATACTTTACAATACCATTTTGCCATATTTCTACACTGTGGATGTGACTTGTTGAAATGTTTTTTCATATGTTGTATATATGAATTGTATATAATTTTCAGTTGGCGAGATTGTTGCAAGATCGTTGATAGTTTTTGGTACAGTTCACTGACAATTCTCTTAAACCAAAGCCCTTATGAAAACATGGATCAGTGGAAATATTCGCTGTCTTGGTTGGTATTGTGTCATTGCACCTGGCAGCGATAACTGTTCATAGCAGTCACTTTTATGTTTCGTCCAGATTTAATGCAGCCGTGAGTGGTGGTAAAGAAGAAACAAGCAACTGTCAATTAAATCTGATGAAAAATAATTCTAACGTCTATTAATGGCATTTAGAATTTAGAATGCTGAACAACGGGAAAGGTCTATTAATATACAGTTTCTTTATTATTAATGTAAGGGGCGTTTCTGTGTAGATGCTAACACCGTTGATAGCTTGCTTGCTTGATAACAGTGTAAGCAACTACACCGAAACTAGTGATGATGAAATATTAAATATAATTTCTTTTAGCTGCAGTTCCCCATGTTTGTCTGTGCATTGGGATCAGTTAGTTTGTCTATTTTGGATACGGGGCGGTGGGGTAGCCTAGTGGTTAAAGCGTTGGCTCGCCATGCCGAAGACCCGGGTTCGAATCCCCACATAGGTACAATCTGTGAAACCCATTTCTGGTGTCCCCCGCCGTGATGTTGCTCGAATATTGCTAGAAGCGGCGTAAAACCAAACTCAGTCAGTCAGTCTATTTTAGATACTGACTTTCCGAAAGGAACTTGGCCCCGACCCACAAAGCGTTCGTAACGTTACGACCTGTCGTTTATCATAGGCTTATGAATGTAGCGCTACGAACGTTTTGTGGATCGGGACCCTGGAACTTAACTTGCGTGTTAGATGGGAATTTTGTACTGATATGGCTTTACAAAACCTCTCCACCAGTTGTTACACACGCTGTATATGTGGACACCATTAGACATGTCTGGTTTGTGTACAAACCAAGCATTAGATTGTTGAATACCAGTTTCTGTATAATTACATCTCTTCACTTGAGTGTACCAAATACTATGCAAAGAGCTCGGTTGTGTCACGTTTCTTCTGATCTACATATCTGATTAAATTCGGGCGGTGGGATAACCTAGTGGTTAAGGTGTTCGTTTGTCACGCCGAAGTCACTGTTCGATTCCCCATATGGGTACAATGTGTGGAGCCCATTTTGTCGTGATAGTGTTGAAATATTGCTAAAATCAGCGTAAAACTAAACTAACTCACTTAGTAGATTCCTACCGAATATCCGATTTTGAAGTAAAAGATGGTATTTCCATAACCCCATGTATTATGGACACTTTTATACTACTTCACATTTCTTGTTTTTCTTCAGATTATTGTAAACCATGTTCTTGAAGAAAACACGAGCTGCTAAGGGGTGTCACCAGTTGTTTTCAGATCAAAGTTTATTAAATTTGTGTCTCCAACCAAACTTTTGAGATCATGGGAAACTGTGAAGTGATTTGTTTGTCTGATGTGAGTTGATGAAATGAAATTTGTACGAGTCAAATATTCTTGTTGGTTGTCTTTTCATTAACATTCTGACATTTTGGACAAGCATGGATGGATTGCTTTCCTAAAACTTTGCAGTTGGCAACGTTTTACATGGTTTTTTTGTGTGTGTGTGTGTGTTTGAGAACAGCTACAGAGCAAGATATAAAGAGCGGTTGACTGGTCATGTTTTTGTTGACAATTAACTTCAACTTAAATTACGACCTTTACTTTCATTACTTTTTAAGTTTGATTTGATAATTTGCGGCGGGGGATTATGTCACCTTAGTGACAACTGCTTGTATTTCGTTTGTTATTTAACGCCGCACTCAGCAATATTCCAGCTATGTGCCGGCGGTCTGTAAATAATCTAATCTGGTCCAGACAATCCAGTGAACAGCGCTTTGAGCATCGATCTACGCAGTTGGGATACAATGGCATATGCTGATCAAGTCAAGGAGCCTGACCACTTGATCACATTAGTAGCTTTCAACGACAAGCATGGGTTGCTGAAGACAAATCCTAAACCAGATCTTCACGGGTTGTGACAGCTGTGATATAGCTGGAATATTGCTGATTCACTCATTCACTCCTGAAACGCCCCAGCAAGAAACCTATGGTCTTATTGGGTCTACTTTGAGAGATCATGAGCAAACTGAAGATTTCAATCGGTTTATTTTGGGTCAAGTTGAACATGATTTATGCGTTACGGCTGTCTTTACATAAACAGTCATTTGTGAAATTAACAGTATGTCGCATATACTAAGGGCGTTTTAAACATGGGGTGAAAGTCCAACTCGAGAATGGTCAAAACCAATTCTTTCCGGATCTCGCAGGACAAGAAAGCTTCAACGCTCAAAACTGCTGTCTGAAACCAGGTCTGAAAGTGTCTCGGCGACAACCTGCTCGACCTGCTCGACTGAGAGAAGCAAGTCAAGACGAGAGACTATTGCCCCACCCTTCAAGGGTGAGTACGGTGATTGAGGCGTCATGTTTAATCATCTTATGGCTTGTGAGATGGTCTCAGTTCAAGAAATCTCTTCTCCTAAGGGGTAGTCGATCTTTTTCAGCCACCATCAAAACATCCGCTAGATCGTTCCGGGAGAACTCACGAAAGGCACAAGCGAGGTCATTGATAAGGTCACTGTCTGATTTACCACTGTTTGTAGCGATCCACCTGTGTAACATTCTGAAGGCAGGGCTGATGTGACGTCCACTGGCCTCCTCCGAGATTCTCTCGACTTGGGTCAAGGTCATCCCGAGTTCTATGGCCGTCTTTTGCCACTCTGACCAAGGCTGCTGCTCGCTAAGAACCAAAAGGCTTTTTTCGCATAGAGCAGGGTGCCCTGAAACAAACCGATAAACAGCACATCAGCACCTATGCTGACGCACAGAAACACACGCGTTATTCTAAATATATTTTATATTGGACATTATAATATAGGGAAATAACAGGAAAGCAAGCGCAGATAGCCTTTTTTGTACGGTGGGTGGTTGCGATTTGCTATCACAAGTACCATACATTTGTTGTAAGCACCTACAAATGTCCCGTTCTGCAACTAATGTGTTTGTAGTGAAATCTATTGCCAAATGATTGCGAGAGCAATATTTTGATTTTTACGCGGTGGGATTGTTATCCTTTTACAACATTTTTTCTTTCTGTACAAGTCAGAACACTGATTATACAACAGTCTCGTTTCCTGCTGACTGGGTTCCGTCCTATTGCGCAACTTAGTACAATAACCAGTCCAGAATGTTGAGACCCATTCATTCAAATGGATACACAAATATTAATCAGTATTATTTGATACATCTAAGCACTTGTATATTGCAATACTACGCTCCTTCTAATCCTTGCAAACACGTCGTGCAGCTTGCTCTGAAAAACTGAAACCTTGAATCTCGAAACGAGGCTCGGCCGCAAGAAAAGTTTGGCGGTCTTGTACGTACTTGATATTATATCAATCACACTGTGCGTTACAAAAATACACTGAATATGTGCAAAGAACACAACAGGTGTAACCAATCATTTTACGGCGTCATCAAACAGGGGCAGTCTCTGACGTCTTAGTTTAGGTCATGCTGCCTAAACCTCGCCATAAAACACAGAAATACGATTTTACTACAGTATAATTCATTTGTAAATACAATTTTCTTATGAAACAAGGAATTGGAATTCAGTGTAACCATAGTTGTTTGTGGTGCCTCTTTTTCACTTTCACACGAGAAAATTCGGATCGGCTGAAAAGTAGGTCACTGGTTTATGAGACTCATGTTTCAGTTTGTCCAACACACTTTTTACTAACTGAGCACGTTCTAAGAATCTAATCATTTTCATAAAAATGTGACGTTTGGGCAGATTCCACAAAATAAACTATTCCCTTTAGACTGGTGCAAAAAACCGCCAATTTGGACATATTTGTAAACAAACCAGATCTGAATTTTTTTGTCCCTACTCCCCTCCATAGAAACCAAACTGAAATTTTCTCTTGTCAGTGTATACCGTGTGACCTATAAAACATCCAAATGTACATAAGTTGCTGAACAAACGATGAAGGGGGTTGCAATAACCAGGGGTAATGAGGAGATATTCTCTCTGGAATATATATGTTTGTAATCCCTCATTCAGAATATTGTCTCTGGTGTCCCCCGCCATGATATTGCAGGAATATTGCTAAAAGCGGCGTAAAACTAAATTCATTCACTCAAAAGATTCTCACAAACAACTTACTTTTCTCTTCGAACACCCCATCTTCGGAAATTGACGATAAAGAAGCAAAAGATGACATCATCGAAGGCGTTGTTTCATTGGATGATATACTGCTACAGCTGACCAATCGCTGACGTCTTTCCGAGACATCCGACCTACTCCCCAATGAAGTGACTGATTGCCTTCTGCCATTGGACTGAACCGACCCAGTAGCAGAGCCTGAACGAAGCTTGCTTGAGCCAGAACGAGGCATTGCTGAACCAGAATGAGACACGGCTGACCCTGACCTTTGCCCGACCGTATTCCGAGGCTGACTGAGCAGATTCTTCGAACTCTTTGTTCCACGGTTAACGTTGAAGTGTACCCGATGGGTCCACTGTGATCTGTTGCCGATAAACGTGATGATGCTAAACGGCGTTGATGACACTTTGACTTTCATTGGAAAGGTAACGTGGTTTTTCTTCGCAGCTTTAACGAATACGAGAGCATACGCTTGTCTTGGGATTCCGGGCGCGTATGTAATGTCGCCGCCTAGTTCGATCCGGATCCTCTCCCTGTCGGCAACAGGAATGTCACGTGATCGACTCATGCTGATCTCCTCAAGCCCGGCACGTCTGTGTTCCTCCGCCACGACATCAGCTCGACATGACTCCACTACGTCGACCTGTACGTAAACGACGATTTAGACGAGTTTGTATCATAAATAATTAGAGCAGTGACAGGGAGCACAAGTCAAAACATTGATTACACAACAGTCTCGTTTCCTGTTGACTGGGTTCCGTCCTATTGCGCAAATCAGTACAATAACAAGTCCAAAATTTTGAGACCAATTCATTTAACTGGATACATAAATATTAATCAGTATTATTTGATACACCTCAGCAATTGTAGATTGCAACACTACGATCCTCATAATCCTTGCAAACATGTCGTGCAGCGTGCTCTGTTGTACAACCAGCACTGACAAACAGAAACCTGGAAATCTTAAAACGAGGCTCTGCCGCTAGAAACGTTTGGCGGTCTGGTACGGACTTGATATCGTATCAGTCACATTGTGCGTTAACGAACTACACTGAATAAGCGCAAAAAACACATAACAGGTGTAACCAGTGAGCCAGATGCATTGTGAATCATTTTACGACCCCATCAAACTGTGACGTCTTAGTTAAGGTCATGCTGCCTACCTCGCCATAAAATATAGAAATACGATGTTATTAAAGTGTAAAATTAGAATTAATTTTTAAATGCCATTATCTTATGAAAGAAGGCATTGGAATTCAGTGTAACCATAGTTGTTTGTGATGTCCATTTTCACTTTCACACGAGGAAATTTGGATCGGCTGAAAAGTAGGTCATTGTCTGAATAGGTCTGAATAATGAGACTCATGTTTCGGTTTGTGTGCTAAAATTGGAAAGCCCATGACCTTCACCTTTCCAGACAGAGGCCGTACGCACTAGCTATTAATGCACACATCACCTCCATCAGTAGAGCCTGCTACTACAACATCCACAATATCAGCCAAGTCCGCCACTACCTCGATACTGATACCTGTAAACTTCTGATGCACTCTCTTGTCACTTCTAAACTCGACTACTGTAATTCACTATAAGCCAACCTCTCCACTAAATCACTCCCGAAACTACAAAGAATCCAAAATTACGCTGCCAGATGTATCACCCACACTCCTCGTCTTGACCATATCACCCCAGTACTACAGTCTCTACACTGGCTCCCCATCTGTGCAAGAATTACCTTCAAAATTCTCATTCTGACTGATGACTGCAACAATAACTTTCCCGACTATCTCAAACAACTCGTCTCCTAGTATGCACCCCAGCGAAGTCTCCGATCCTCCTCTGACTCTCTCCTCACCCAACGCATATCTCCAAACCAACTGTCTGATTGAGCCGTCTCCTTTGCCAGCCCTAAACTGTGGGACTCTCTTCCAAAGGAAATCAGGAACACTTCATTGAAAGAACTTTTAAATCTCTGCTAAAGACCCATCTGTTCACTGCTGCTTTTCTGTAGAAGTTATATGAACTATTTCCTTCCTCAATATTGTCACAGAACCACTGAACATCTCTACCTTGGATGTTAGGGGCTGTATAAATACATTATAATTATTATCACTATACAAAAATAGGTCTCCTTAAGTAAGGGCATCTCGGGGGGTTTGTAGTATTGCATATATATAACAGGACCCTGTGAAGGGATAAGTAAGCATTAGCAGTAAAACCTATAGGGCAGAGGGGTAGCCTTGTGGTACAACCTTTCGCTCTTCACAAGACCCGGGTTCGATTCCCCACATGGGTACAATGTGTGAAGTCCTTTTCTACTGCTCCCCGCCATGATATTGCTGGAATAGTGCTAAATGCGGCGTAAAACTAAAACTCACTCACTCACTCAGTAAAACTTATATATTTACCAGCAGTACTGGCAAACCAGCGAGGGCTTTGTTGTTGATGAAGCAGAGAAGGGTACACAGGTTTTCCCTCCCCGACAGAAACCGGGCCGCCGTCAGAATCTCCGACCTTGACACTGACGCTGATCTCACTCGCACAGCACTGTACCTGGAGGAGGAATTGGTATATTAGTACATAAGTTGACACGTGTGAAGGGCACGCATCAACAGTAGTAAATAGGGTCCGATTGTCGTGGGTTCGAATGTTATTTTCGCCAGGTTTATGACTCTTGATTCTGTTTGTTTAGCCCACATGGGTACAATGTGTGAATCCCATTTATGGTGTCTCCCGCCGTGATATTGCTGGAATATCGCTAAAAGCGGCGTAAAACTAACCTCACTCACTCACTAATTGTTTGTTTAGAAAAAATGAACATGTGTTGAAAAACATGGAACAGGGGCTCGTTTCAGATTGATAAAAAAAAACCCTTAGAAAATACCACAGCATTCAATATAGTTATTCCTTGCAGACTTAAGATGGCAATTTTCCAGCCATATGGGGGCGGTCTGTGAATAATCGAGTTTAGACCAGATATTCCACTGATTAGGGTTAATGATCCACGCATTAGAGGTGCAATGGCATGCAATGAACTGACCTCAAGATCCTTTTCATGACTTCTTACGAGAACTATTGGTTGTTCGGGGTACTATATTCTTACCCATAATTACAACAGGTTAGGAGGTAAAATGAGTAATGTATTCTTACGCAGAAAACCCCTTCACACTGATGCTGTAACAGCCTTCTTCCATAGTAGGAACGTCGTCGACGATGTCCACTTTGCCATCATGCCAGCGGAGGAAGACCACTTCTTCATCAGCACCGTCTTCGTTACATTCGTGAATGGGCAGTGTGACCTTTGCCCCTGTCTGTAGTTCACCTTTTAGGTTGTGTTCGACGTTGACAGTTGTAGAAAATCCCATAATGCTTTGAAATGTGTCGGGATTGTACTTCCGGTATTCTGATGACCTTTTAGGGTCCACCGTTTCCGTCTGGAATGTATTGGGAAATAGCATTTTTGTTACAAAAAATGGTACCATATACTCCTGGATAGAAGGTGAAGACCACATTGTTTTTCGGTGTAACTTTCAAGCTGTAATGGCGGTTTGGTATTGCAACATACAGGTTTCATGTTGTGGGTCTACTTATTTTTAGTAGAGCTATTGCATTTATTGTTACACATCTCCCGAACGGAATTTTACAAGGTGTATGAGGCCGAATTGTCCTTGAATGTTCAGATCGCAAAATACCTTCCCTACAGCATTAAAACCCGAATGGACTTTTGTGATATTTTTGAACATACATGTATATTAATATATGCTGGCTATATTCGCCTTTCACATCTTTCCGTTTTATCGATATTTGATTGAGACACAGATATTGATATGATCCATCTTAATAACGCGTTTTAAATGCAGTCACTGAAATTTCCGTAGTAGAAACAGAAGGTAAACATCATGGTTAACGTACATCTGATTTCAACGTTGAACAGCACAGTATCCGTCTTTGTAGGCTTTGCCCTCAGTGGTAGTGAGTGAGTGAGTGAGTGAGTTTAGTTTTACGCCGCTTTTAGCAATATTCCTGCAATATTACGGCGGGGGACACCAGAAACTGGCTTCACACACTGAGCCCACGTGGGGAGTCGAACCCGGGTCTTCAGCGTGACAAGCGAACACTTTAACCACGAGGCTACAACACCGCCCCTTCAAATATAAAATCTGAACAGAAGAAAGTACTAAATCCAGGAATTTTGAAAGGAGGGGGTTCAGTGGGTTCAAACCCCCTGAACCTCCCCTCTGGATCCGCCAGTGCTGGAACTGATGGCTGAAATTGGATGGCAGTACTTCCTAGAGGTCAAATGAACTCATTGAACCAATGTGGGGAGTCGAACCCGGGTCTTCTGCGTGACGAGCGAACACTTTAACCACTAGTCTACCCCACCACGTGGTAGACATCCATGGTCTCCCATTGTTACTGACCTCACGCGTCAAACTGACGAGCAGTCACATAATTACTATTGAAATCCTACTCACTGACTGATCTTTATATGTCTGGTTGACATAGGGCGTAGGGCTTACACATGCGCTTGTTGAGAAAAAGGTTGGGCAAGCCCTCAATACTATGAATATAAAGCTATGCAACCTATAGGGCTTACACGAAAAAATTGGCTTGCTACGCGCATGTTGACTGAAAGCAGAACACCTACCACAAACCGGAACTCCGCGTCCTCTTCCACAGCCCCTTTAGGGAATTCAATTTTAACATCCGGGTCTTTGTCCGACACAAATTCCACGCCCTCTGGTGTGATTGTTGTACGCTCTGGTTTCAGCCTGGCTATCACTGTCAGCAACTGGATGCTGTCGAGATGCGCACGCACACACTCATGCTGAAATGGAACAAAGATTGCATTCAGCTGAGTCTATTGAAATATACTCAAACCATTTTCCTGTCTCAGTAACTGTCGTTATGCTTCAGTTGACGAAAGATGCAACGTCTTGACGGAATATGACCACATTCGTAGCCTTCATCTAATCTAGAAGTGTTTGTAATTAGCAGTGCATATTTACTATATGCGCACATATCCACGCTCGTAAGCATGCTTAAGGCGCTAACACACTATTACCCCGGATAACCCAAGCTGTCTGTGAGGCGCTAAAAGGGTAACTGTCATATTACTAATCCTACCGCGTACCCATTTTCTGCTGGGTGAACGAACAGAGGCAATTTTGAACAAACTCACTTGCCTAAGGTGAGACCACATGTATCACATGTGCTTCCTTGTGGGGCAGGAGTGAAGTCTTAGAAACTCTCAGGAGTCAAGCTGCGAAACACGGTGACCCAACCAAGAACTCGCAGCGCCCAACGTTGCTTATTTTCAACTGATTTGTGACCTGAGCTCTATGCACAGGACCACACACCACCAAGATCAAGGTTTCATCATACAAGACCTCAGTGATGTTTTCAACATGTTTAATATAGACATTTCCAAATTCGACGCATCTGTCACAAACATGATGACCCATGCCGTACCCATCTTTCACTTGTACCATATGTTTTTTTGTTTTGTTTTTTCTGTGAACCCATAACTTGCCATTGCCTGTCTGACGGGAGCCACCGTTGGGCAAGGATACGTATTCTGGAAAATACGCATACGTCGTATCAGCGCTGCGTGAGAGTATCTGACGGGAGCCACCGTTGGACAAGGATACGTATTCTGGCAAATACGCATACGTCGTATCAGCGCTATGTGAGAATATCTGACGGGTGCCACCGTTGGACAAGGATACGTATTCTGGCAAATACGCATACGTCGTATCAGCGCTATGTGAGAGTATCTGACGGGAGCCACCGTTGGACAAGGATACGTATTCTGGCAAATACGCATATGTCGTATCAGCGCTATGTGAGAGTATCTGACGGGAGCCACCGTTGGACAAGGATACGTATTCTGGCAAATACGCATACGTCGTATCAGCGCTATGTGAGAGTATCTGACGGGAGCCACCGTTGGACAAGGATACGTATTCTGGCAAATACGCATACGTCGTATCAGCGCTATGTGAGAGTATCTGACGGGCGCCACCGTTGGACAAGGATACGTACGTACACGTCGTATCAGCGCTATGTGAAAGTGATTCATGAACATACGCTCATCATACTGTCGAAATGATAACACTGACTCTTGTTCTATCAGATATTTGTTGTGAAAAGGAATTTTGTTTAGCCACGAAATATTGTCATTGTCGAAATGTGGAAATGTAGGAACACAAACATTAAGTTGTAGGCCATATTTTAGGTTTGTAATGCCAAGATTACCTTTCTGCATGAATGCATAAATACATATATAACACTTGATATGGAGTTACAACCATTATCTCCAGGAACACCTGGTAGTCTTTACCAGGAACACTGAGCCTGACCTTCACATGTCATGTTTGTTGGTTTGTCTGTTGTTTAAACGCTGCGTTTATTATCAAGGCATTACTATCGCTCCTTTGTTCATATGCCAGGATTTGTTTCAGAAACAGATATCTTTTTGTTTTGTGCTAGCAAATTAAGCACAGTGAATATGAACAGAAATGTAGATCGAGAAAGCCATAAAACTACGAACAGAAGAAATACGTCCAAACCAACGAATTGGTATCATGTCTTACCTGAGTGAGTGAGTGAATTTAGTTTTACGCCGCTTTTAGCAATATTCCAGCAATATCACGGAGGGGGACACCAGAAATGGGCTTAACACATTGTACCCACGTGGGGAATCGAACCCGGGTCTTCGGCGTGACGAGCGAACGCTTTAACCACTAGGCTACCCCACCGCCCCTGTCTTACCTGAAGGGAAATGACATGCTGTATTGTTACCTAACTGGGAGTGGTAAATCTTTGAAACTATACCATTTGTATATAAAGAGCTTCACAAAACAAACGAAGCAACAGTAACTGTTGTATCCCAACTTGTAGCACTCATGAAGAGTGAGTGAATTTGGGTTTACGCCGCACGCACCAATATTCCAGCTATATGGCGGCGGCCTGTAAGTAATCGAGTCTGAACCAGACAATCCAGTGATCAACATTATGAGTATCGATCTCACATGCTATGCCTTACCTTGTAAACAGCAGGTACGAAGACCCATTCCCCGTCTTTGAGAATCTTCAGGTAGAAGTCATACATCTCGCCAGGGGGCACGTAGCTCTTGGGTATATTTACTGGAAATTCAAGCCAAATTCAATGCCTCAGTTTCAGCAGAGTTTGTTTGTAAGGTTGGGTGTAACAGTATTTCAATTATGTCACGGGGTGCCAGCTCGGTGAATGAGTGAGTGAGTATGGTTTTACGCCGCTTTTAGCAATATCCCAGCAATATCGCGGCGGGCTTCACACATTCTACCCATGCGGGGAATCGATCCCGGATCTTGACGAGCGAACACTTTAACCACTATACCACCCCAACGCCCCGCTTGGTGTAGGCGGTAAGCGATGCAGGCTTTAGACATTTACCACGTTCTTGAAACGCATACGAACCATTATGGTGCTGATAAACCTAAAACGTGGGATTCGAACCTACCAGCTGATATTATAACCAGTGTGCGTTATAACTCAGAAACACAAACATATTGGAATCAATTCTTAATAAATAATAAACAAACAAATAGATAAACAAAAAGATGAATAATAATTACAAATATTCAGAACTTGACTTACTGCTTATTCTAAACTAGCACGGGTACAACACAAGGCTTGCCTATTGTATTTGTCAGTCAGTAAGGAAAACGTCGCATGCCTGTAAACGTGCTTGCTTAGCCAGTTGCATGCCACGAAACCACTTGAAAATCCTTCATTATATTTTACGGGTTAAAGAAAATGCTACCACTACTACAACTATTACTGCAACAGCAACAGCAACAACAACAACAACAACAATTACAACAAAAACTACTACTACTATTACTACTACTACTACTGCTACTACTACTACCTGGGACATTGATAGTGACATCATCTTGCAGCACGAGTTCTTTCGAATGCACTTCATAGATGTCGCTGCAGAGAATGTCGTCTGCTGCGAGGCCCAACTCTTCCAGTCTTGAATTTCGCGTCTGCACGTCCCAAGTCTCCAGACGACATTCCAAATTCTCATACTCCTCTGAAGCCACGCCGTCTCCGAGGTTGTCATGGCACCACTTGTACCCATCACAACTCAGAACACCAAATACTTCACTATCGTGGATAAAAAGTAAAATATATTAAAGGCAGAATGTAACACATTTTCGACATTATTTTGGCCTATATTATATACAGGGGCATATGCACTCACTTTAGATTCCTATTGATGCAATAAAAGACTTATTATCTTCAAGCTTGCCTGAAATCGATAACTGATAGCTTCGTAGCGAACAGCTTCCAAACAGAGAACGCTTGTTATATGTGGAATGTAAACTACTGCTCCGTACATCGAAAATTGTCGCACGCTGTTTTGGAATTGGTTTCAGTCACAAGTTGTGCGCAGGATATTCGTAAAGAGCGCTCCAAGGGACATAACTGTATGTGGTTCGCTTCAAAAAATGTGTCGACCGGTAGATGGCGCGAGAGTTGATTAAATGCAACTTTGCCTTAATTCATTCGAACTTTTTAATTTAATGTTGTAATCTAAATACGTATTTGTTTTGGAATAAAGTGTATGGTAGATTCCCTGAGGGCTGATAGTATTATTGAGAGAAACGTATTATTTATTTTTAGAGAAGTGTTGTGTGATATGGTTCCTTTAAGCTATAGACAAATAAAATCAAATTTGATCACTCAGCCCCGTGTGTCTCAAGGCTTTCACCCATTCTCAACATCTTTTAGTAGCGGGAAATCATCTTCAGTTTTCAGCAGAGCAACGATTTCTTGAGGAACACCGGGAATTTGCGTAACATGTGGGTCATGAAACCGAGTTTTCGTAGTGGGTAGCTAACGCAATAAGCACTGGGCTAAATCAGAGCCCCATTTCTACGAGCAATTCACGTAAATCAGATCCTCGGCGAAACCTAGGAGTATAAGCATCTACTCGTCACGTCGATGGACTGCGTTCGAATTCTCACAAGGGTACAATGTTTACAGAAAGGTATGTGTCCCTGCCGAGGCATCCTGGAACCTACCCGTCGAGCTCCATTCCATGTTTGGTATTGTGCGTTCCCTCAGAACCTCTCCTCACTAAGCCCTAAACAACCTTCGGACCTTCGGAAATAGACCTCCACGTGTGTGGTACCTGATCTAATAGGAATTTGAATCACCGCTAATTCTAACCCCATCTCAAGACACCTGATTTGTGACTTAGTCGTAAAGTATAAGTATCAATCAAAAGAAATAACGTTAGCTCTTGTAAGCCCTCTGAGATACTATAATGCATTACGTTTAACGCTGTTTAAGCCGCTCTATTATCAGTACGTTACAATTTGACCGCTAAGTTCTATATTAGTGACGCATGTCTATCTTTAGGTAGGTAATGAAGTGAGGTCCTTGTTGGCGTTGTACGGGGTGATCTCAGTGCCGCGGTGATCTTAACTCTCATACCCTAACATAGACGTACTTAGAGACACCCGTGACATCCGGGGCAGAATAGGTCTTCAGCAACCCAAGCTTGCCACAAAAGGCGACTATGCTTGTCGTAAGAGGCGACTAACGGGATCGGGTGGTCAGGCTCGCTGACTTGGTTGACACATGTCATCGGTTCCCAGTTGCGCAGATCGATGCTCATGATGTTGATCACTGGATTGTCTGGTCCAGACTCGATTATCAACAGACCGCCGCCATATACTAGTAGCTGGAATATTGCTAAGTGCGGCGTAAAACTAAAGTCACTCACTCACTCACTTAGAGACCGTTCATAACTTATGGCAAGGGGGTGGGATGATTTTTATGCAGAAGCATGTACAAGGTGAATGACCCCCCACCTAAAATTTACGTGCAAAGTCCCCCCCGTATATCATGTACAAAATCAAAGACCCCCTCCCATAATTTTTAAGCATAATTATTTACTATGCTTATGTACAAAGTTGCTGAACCCCTCTAGTACATGTGTACAAAATTGATGCCCTCCCCTCCCCAACGTTAAAATCACCATCACCCCTCCCCGGCCATAAATTGTGAACTTTGTAGTATTCACGGGTAAAGTCAGTGTGGGCAAGTGACAGCAGAAATAGGCTCCACACATGGCACCCACGTGGGGAACCGAACCTAGGTCTTCCGCGTGACGAGCGAATACCTTAACCACAAGACAGTGTATTTATTTTACCTGAAATTTTCATCCAAACCTTTCTCCTGATCACTCTTTTCTCTGCAAGATGGCGGCGCACCTTCCGGCCTGTTTGAGGGGAGAAATAAATCTTCAGATTGATACAACTTGCTTCCAGTGTCGTAAATTAGAAATGTTAGTCTTGTAAATAATAAAGAATAATGCTCATAATTGTAATACCGACGTCCGACGTCCTTAACTTCCAGATGCACTATATAGTCCGTTTGGGTTCAAATGAGAACGACAAATGATTAAAAAACTCGAAATTGGGATAAAGCACAAAACATGAAGAAGATGCATGGTCCTGAAACCTCTGTACCCAACAGGATCTGAAATATGACGTTTTTTAATCGATCATGGAAAAAGTTGTTTAAGAAAATTTAATGTAATATTGTGGTATTTTCAAGCTTCACATCGCGGGGTGACAAACGGCTGATGGAACAGCGCCTGACAGCTTGGGTCATCTCACCTGGCTGTGCTGAGTTGCACCAGAATGTGTGCTGGTGCTATTCCACCAGCCGTTTATCACCCCTCGGTGTGAAGCGTGAAAATAGCACAATATTACATGATGGTTTCTCAAACAGCTTTACCCGCGATCGATATAAAAACGTCAGATTTCAGATCCTGTTGGGTACAGAGGTTTCAGGACCATGTGTCTTATTTATGTTTTGTGCACTTATACCTATTTCGAGATATTTAATCATTCATCGTTTTCATTTGAACCCCAAAGGACTATAGCTGTGGGACGAATATTTTAGTTGCCCATAAGGGTATATTTGCTGTCAGCATCAAAAGAGGGTTCCACCTAAACGGTGAATGTCAAAGACATGCCTCATTCCGATCTAATCCATCCTAGTCACCCCTTCATTAAAAAGGCATGCAATGATATAACTGAAACCCAATTCAAAACCCGTTAACTCACTCACATTCACGCTTGTCACTACACTAACAAGCACTAACTTGGGTTAAACAATTATTCTGCACATTTAACTTCCTATTCCTGATAAACACTACAACATACGGTTCCAGATAAACAACGGACACTACTCATATACAACTCCAGCAAGACGTAGAACATGTACTCACGCGTACACGAAGAAGATCTTTCCCTGGATGTCCGCCATTTTGAATCAGAGTATACATGCTCTGCCCTCCCTCTGCTGTAGTTAAACAATCAGGACTGACTCAATCACTGACAATTAACGCCACGAGGGAGATCTAGTATCAATACGATATTAAACAAAATATATTAACAAAAGAATTTTGATAACGTGTTTTGTTTAACATTACATTTTGGCACATGTATTTCTTCTTTGATGGGCAATTCATCTTTCATCTGGCTTCCAATCATTTGGTTATTCCCTAATTCATTCTTTGTTCGTCATCTAACTGGCGTCAAATCAACTTACTTAATCTCTTATACAAGCTCTGTACAGGAACCTCATCTATTGTATATACAACGCATGCCAAATCCATTGTAATAGCAACTCATGTATATTTTCTCTCCAAAAAGAAACTCATGTATCGTTTGCTTGACAACAACATTAGAATCTTTGTGGAAACGTCGCCTTTCACAGAATAAAGAAGTTGTGTAGCCATAAAAAATATCAGCATTCTACATATATTTTTATTCAACGATTTATTGCGTTACAATGGGCATTTTGAGACCTTAGAGTTACACAGAAAATGTCTTTAAGTTGAACTCACATGCACAAAATGTTGGAAAGTATTATTCGAACTGAACTATGTCATGTCAAAATGCTCATATACAATGACTTACCGTTGTGTACCTCCTCATGTCCAGTATCGGGTCAGACTGGCCAGCCAGCCTCACTTGAAAACTAATCTAATCCGAATTTTTACGTAGACGCCAGATTACAGGCGGTTTATTGTACTACAGTGCGTGCGTTATTGGATTAAAGCTGATTAGTTCACCGTGTAAAGGATTTGTGGTGTCGTGTATCGGCCGCGATGTATGTTTTGTCAAACCTTTCTTACGGAATATTGTAGAGGCTGACAAAGTTGTGAAATCGAGCTTATGTCATGAGTGCCTACTTTCCAATTTTAGAGAGAGACTCACAGACTCACTCATCCATTAAGCCAAACGCTGGCTCACTCACTCAGTCCGCAGGGCCACTCACTCAGCCAAACTCTCACTCATTCACGCACCCATCCTCCCACTCACTTTCACTAACTCGCTCACTCACTCACTCACCCATCCTCCACTCACTCACTCACCCATCCTCCCACTCACTTTCTCACGCCGAAGACCCGGGTTCGAATCCCCACATGGGCACAATGTGTGAAGCCCATTTCTGGTGTCCCCCGCCGTGATGTTGCTGGAATATTGCTAAAAGCGGCGTAAAATCAAACTCAGTCAGTCAGTCCCACTCACTTTCACTCACTCACTCATTCACCCATCCTTCCACTCACTCACTCACTCACTCACTCACTCACCCATCCTCCCACTCACTTTCACTCACTCGCTCGCTCACTCACTCACCCATCCTCCCACTCACTCACTCACTCACATAATTTAAAATGTGTTTCTGGCTGCAGGATTAGTTATTGTTCTCTTCAGGAGATCAATTGATCGAAAAATCGAAAGTTTCATATCCATTCCTCGAATACATTATGACACGAGCACTTATTCATAGTTCGAATTAAGTGGATGTAACGACGATAATATTTCTACCATGACCAAATCGTCACATTGTTTTAATCAGCTCAAAGTGTCGATGGTGTAGACACAATTTAGTGTTTCCTGGCGTAATATCAGTACGCTACCAACCCGTTGGGGTATTACCCTATAACTGTGTTCTATTAAGCACGGATAGTGTCAGAACCGTTAACGCCCATTGCGTAAAAGTGAATTGCTTTCATGTCTCAAGTCATGTACAAATCATTACCATAAGTGCCCAACGGTAAACGGATCATTTGAACAGCATTGTGTTCCGCCCTCCCAGTGGATAAATCACTTTCATATGGAATCTGAGAAGGGACATTGTCGCTATGTCGCATTGTCGCCCTCTCAAAAACAAGTAAAGTGAGGCAAAATAAACCAAAACGCGACACGCGTCATCGCGACAATGCGACAAATGGGCGAAATGTCGCGTTTTCGCGTGTCGCGTTTTGGTTAATTTTGCTTCATTTTGCTTGTATTTGAGAGGGCGACAACGCGACAATGCGACAACGCGACAATGTCTCTTCCAGGATTCCATACTTTCAGCCACAAGGTCTTCCATGTGGTGAAAACAATGTTCCTCCATATCGATTAATGTACTGCCTTGAGTGAGTGAGTGAGTGAGTGAATATCTACCGTCACATCGGCGATATTTCAGCCATATCGTGACGAGAACAATTTATAATTAGATCTATATTATAGATCAATAAAGTTAGAACTTAAAAGCCTGTTGACGAAAAAACAGCAAAACTACTAGTTTATCACAGATACCCATTTAAAACGAGCAACAAAATCTAAAATATCTAACTATAAATGATTGCCAACAACTGAAGGTAGATCACCATACCAGGGACCATGGGGACTTACAGTACATTTGCTCACTGCATGGACCCTAGCTGGATTTACACCATCCCTTCACCCTCTAGCAATTTAGACACATCTAGCCATACATTAAATACACATTTTCTACGATTGAAAAAGAAAGTGGAAAGTTTAAATACTTTGAATGTTTTGGGACTTATGTACCCTCTCAGGAGGTGTGTTGCCCTGGTGTGATACAACTGTATTCAGGCTGTTACTCTGTATCCCTAAAATTTACACAATTAGCATATTTCGAAATAATCCGCTTCATCCAAACCGACTGATCAGTGGGATGCGTAATAGGATATCCAGAAAAGCATGTTCACTCGTAAAATCGGACAAAACTTAGAAAAAATATGAATAGCTGCTGAAAATAATAGATCAGACTATAGATGTCAATCAGGTCGCTCAGCCAGGTGTGACGACTTGCCGTCGACTCATCTGGCAGGGTATGCTCGTGCTACCTACAGGCACCGGGGGTCATCTCAAAGATATGTTATGCTTTTACATGTGTGTTGAAAATGTCACATCTATTGATCAACATCTTACGTGTCTTTCTTTCATAAAGTTTATGTTGTCGCACTCTGAGTATACATGTTCGTGGAAATAAGCCCTATTATAAGCAACCTTATTATTATACCCACAGAAAAGATTTAATCAGCCATCGTATTAAATGTCTTAAAATATATAGGTGGCATGGATTATCTTATCTTAGCTGATATCTCTATCCCCCACCCCGATTCCAACTTCTGAATCACAGAGTCCGTAGGACAACGTGGCCATGCTGCTGTGCTAACGTGTCTGATTTGAAGACTGTAGGTTTCCTGTCTGATTTGTCCATGAGTTGTACTTTGGTTTCTGCCTGTCTAAAATACACCTTGCACGAGGTCAGAAATTCTTGCATTTGAGTCTTACGGTAACTCCTGGCGGGGGTCAGTGTTTCCGGCACACGGAGGTTATGATATCTAGCGTTATTCATAACGATGACGCTAGGATTGTCCAGACGTTGTAGGAGCTGATGTTCCACCCACTCAAGGAACACCTCACCGTTCATCTCCTGGTGATAATCGGAATCACGTGTACCAACGTGAAGAAGGAGGAGTTTGCCCACACTAGATGGAATGGTTGGGGCCTTGTTGCACGTATCATATGGAGGTAGCCACATGTAATCCGTGGAGTGATTCTTGTTCACTCAGGCCTCATCGACGTATACTATCTGAAACCCAACTCCCGGTATTCGGCGATGTTTCTAAAATCGAAGATGACCTGCGGTGAGGGCTGGATACCTTTCACGAAACACTCCACGATCATCTCCCCTTGCTTTTTACCCAAACCCCATTTCATGGAGAGCTGTGATAAGAGTTGTTCCAGATACATTAATGGTATTATTGATCTCTTCCTTGATGGGGCGGACGGTTGGTGTCATCTTCCTGTCATACAACTTATATACTCCTCTCCTTATGATCCCCTTATCAAAGCTATCCAATTTGTGTTTGCGTCCTGGTTTTGCTTTTGAGACGACCCCTCTCACCTGTTTGTTTATGGCAGACTCAGGGCTGCACTAGTTCTATGATATACCCTGTCATATCTAAAGAGCGGTCCTGTGCAAAATACCTTTTGACATTAGCAGTCAGTGTATCCATATCAAGCCAATCAATCTTTATTTGCACTTAAGAGTGAGTGAGTTATTATTTAACGTCACATCGGCAATATTTCAGCCATATCGTGACGAGAACATATGTGACATTGAAATGGAATAGATGTACATTATTTGCACTTAAGAGGCCACAGACCTTTACTACATGTATACAGATTAGGCAGTAGAGAGTACATTTTTTCTGTGTGGAAAGGCATGATACAGAAACATTGACAATTGTTCTAGATGTTCCTTGCTAGAATAGGTTAATAGAGATATACATTTATAGATATTATGACGTACAAAGTAATATTTATTGATATACTTATTTCTCAAAGTGTGGTAGTCTGGACAGACACAAAGAAAATGATATTCGTCTTCAGTTAGATTCAAATGACACATTTTACATATTCTATCTTCTTTTCTTATTCCAATATCTACCTGTTTCTATTCACAAATCATTGGACGAGCAACGAAAATTTGTAAGCGTGATTCTATATTTCCGAACATTCAAATATTAAAATAGGTTTCATTGTATGTAGATTGCTAAAACATTCTGTAATAAAAACCTTTATTTTTACAGATAATTGGTCAAGCCAGTTCTGGAGACATATATTTTGTAACCTTTGTTAAATGGATATGAGAAAATTTGGTTGCGAGTCTATGTACTGTTCTATTATTATCGAAACCAGTAGAAAATTTTAACTTTTTAATTACGTTTTCCATTTCTATCGTACAAAATCATCATATTGTAACATTTTATGGGTAAACTGTAAGATGGGTATATTTAAGATTTTTAACCAATATCATTCAACAAATAATGGAAATCTACCACATTCACCATAAATCATTATGTTTGAACTAGTAACTTTCACACCGAGAAATCTTTTAATTGCATATAAATGACCTTTTTCTAGTATATCAAATATTTGGAGTCCCCAAAT